TTCCCCCCTCCCTCTCTCTTGGTAGAATTCTAGAACTAAAAGGGGATCTCACACAGCATTCAGCAATCTCTTGTTTATAGCTGGATAATAGTTTCCAGAGAGGTGAAGCCCAGCTCACACATGGTTATTGGCAGAGCCAGGGCAAGAACCAAGAGCTTAGTCAGCCTAACCCCATTTTCTGCTACATCGTTCTCCCCTGTTGCACCATGTCAGTCTCCAAATCCCCAAACATTTTGATTCTGCTTTATAAATTGACTTCCATTTTAATTCCATTCCTTTTTAAAGTTGACAACTTTCTGGCTCAAATTGCTCTGTTTAAAACTGTATCACTGCGCCTGGCCGGGCGTGGCTCAGCGGTTGAGCATCGACCTAGGATCCAGGAGGTGGGGGCTCAGTTCCCGGTCAGGGTACAGGCCGGGGCTGTGGGCTCGATCCCCAGTGGGGGGCATGCAGGAGGCAGCCGATCAATGACTCTCTCATCATTGACGTTTCTCTCTCTCTCTCTCTCCCTCTCCCTTCCTCTCTCTGCAATCAATAAAGACATATTTAAAATAATAAAATTAAAATAAAACTGTATCACTCCTATTGAAAAAATATATATAAATGCTGACTTCTGAGGATTCAATTCCAAGAGGAAGGAGAAGTGGAAATTCCCAGAACAACTGGGGTATTTTTACTTTATCCATAGAAAAGAAATCTTTAAAAGAACTACTCTTTGGCTATTATAGGTTTTCTTCCGGCAATTTAATATTTTAGGCCCTAAAGTGATGAGAAAAATAGAAATAGTCAACTTTTTTGTATCTAGTTCACCATCAAAGATAATGATCTTCAAGGAGGAAAAATCAACATTGCCGGTGGAGGTAAAGGCCAGGAAGGCGAGGGCAAGGCAGAGCACAGCCGTTAGCTGTCAACAGCTCTGAACTGACAGGCTTGCTGAATACATCCTCAGACACCGAACAAACTTGTAGAAATAATTATGACATCATTAATATTTGAGAACTTGAGAAAAAAAATAAGGAAATGGTCAAAAAGAGGTGGGGATGGTTAATTCCTGAAACTACAGATAAGTGAACTAAATATTGATTTCTGATAAAATTTAATGCAGTAAAGAAAATTTGGCAAGTATATAAAAGTATAAAGAAAATAATTTTTAAAAATTTGTGATCCTATCACACAGAGATAATTGTTGTTAAAGTACTGGTTTGTTTCATACATACATAAATATATACATACATACCTATGTTATTTTAACCTTTATTAAAGTTTAAGGTTCAGATTTCAGTTTTAATAATATGACAGACTAAATATACAAAATGAGACTATTATAGAAAAATTTTATATTTAGCTGACTTTTTAAAAACGTGTTAAATGGTGAATAATTGTGTTCTGAGGTATTCTTTTGGAAACATGATTTGTGTGGGTGTGTAAAATATTCCAGCATATTGATATGCAATAATATATATTTAACTATTTCCTAAATATTTCCTAACATTTATGTAGGATGTATTGTCAGAAAAATGCTACATGAGTACCTTGGAAAGAGGGCAATGAAATCCTGCATGCTTTTATAAGAAGTGATGCTAAACACACCAAATTTTGAAAATAAGATTCCAAGGTGATAAGTCAAGATAATAGCAGGTAGCATATATTGATTTCAGTAAAGATCTTAAGGACAAAATTTAGGTATTTGGACTGAATAATTAATTAAATAGGGCAGAATTAAGGGCTTATGTGTGTCTAATTCTCCATTGCAGCCTCAGAGCCTGGCAGGGCCTTATATATACCATAAATTCTCAATAAATGAATGAATGAATATATGTGAATTTGTAGAGATGTTAAACAAGCAGTCTACACAAGGCAAATTAATAGATTTCTGGGTAAAGTCTAGCTCTACTACTTAATAGCTATGTGACCTTGGTAAGTCAACTAATCTCTTTAAGGCTCCTTTTCCTCATCTGTAATAGAATTTAACTCATGTGGGTTTTGTGATGATTATGTGGAATTCTACTGGAAGGATCTTCCTGTGGTTCCAGGCACCTAACCAGAGTTTACTAAGTATGAGATGGTAGCAGGTAGTGGAACTACTACTAGTAATAATCGTAGTAGTAATGATAACCTATCAATTACCTAGAGGTATGCACTTAGCCCTGCCTGCTTCATCATTTTTATTACTGACTGGGATGAAGTCCTAAATGTTGTGCTCATTAAATATGCATCATATTACAGTGAATATTTAAAAAACATAGTATTAGAAGATTTGATAGGTGGAAAGAATAAGCCAGACTAAGAATATGGTATTTAGTAAGATTAAGAACAAATGAGTTTAATTTCTAATTCATCCAACAATAACACAGATATTTACTGAGTACCTAACATATGTCTGGTTGAAGGTGACAGTAAAAGATGAAAAGTCATGGTCCTAGTTTTTTAGAAGTTTTCCATTCAGAGAAGAGACAGAAAAAACCAACAATTGCAGTTTGTAGGATTATGGCTATAACACATTTGTATCCATAATTCAATGGGGGGTTGGGGGAGGGAGACATGAGTATGACTTTACCCAATGGAGAACCTGGGAATGGGGTGAGAGATAGAGGCGACTGGGCTTTCTAAGCTTGAAGAGTCAGTAGTTAAGGGCTGTGGGTATTTAAAATTTCAAATGGGATTACCAGAGATAAAGAAGCCAGATCGCCAAGGACCTTTATTTAGACTTTATTCTATGTAAGTAGAGGGGATGGCAGGTCAGAGTAAGTGGCAATTCATGCACAAAAGACTTAAATTTCAATTAAGTGTTTAATAGTATAGGGAATCCAGACCAAAGGAAATACAAACTAGTCACCTAAGTCTGAAGTATTGCATTTTATTCTGGACTAACAGGAGCATTCCAGAAGAGAGAAAATAGTGGAGGATGTTGAAGCAATGTCATGGCAACAGATAACACCCGTGCTACTATCTCTTAGTGTTTGTATTGTCCTGCATATTATCTAATGTGACCTTCATATGAGAGTTATTTAAAGAATGAAATGGCTATATTTAACCTAGAAAAGAGAAAACTTTCGGGGACATTATAATCATCCTCAAGTATAGGAAAGGCTGCTATATGAGAGGAGGATTGGATTTGTTCTGAATTGCTCCAAATGGCAAAACTAGGGCAGATGGGTGGAACTTTTGGTTAAACACACATAGGAAATTTAAACATAAAGCATGGCAATTCAGAAACAGAACGGACTTCCTCATGTGGTAATGAGTTCTCCTTCAGCAGAAGAATGCAAGGAGACTAGGAAAACCACTTGTCTCATGGTCAAGTGGAGAGATTGGAGTATATACCCTTTCCCCGCCTTTCAATGTTAAGGTTGTAGGATTTCCAAGAATTATTGATCCCTCTGGAGGGCCAAGTGGTTAACTGACAGTAAAGTTTGAAGGAGAAAAGGGAAGGCATCCCCAAAACTTATGGAGGAAGTCGAGGTGGGGAGAGAGTGGCGGTGGAAGCATCATATATATTTAAAGTTTCTGAATTGACTGATTGTGTTTAACCTGTTAAGAAGCCCTTGGGAAAGATGCTTTTAAATATAATAGACAAAATTCAAATTTAAACTTATCAGAACAAAACAAAAACCCCAGTACATCATCCCAGTAGATTAAACTTTACCACTTAAGAAAAATATGTCATCTTAACACTTAATTGCATGCCAAGAATACGTGAAGTAGGATATTGAACATAAAGATCTCCAACTTATCGATCCCACATCTCCCTTACAAAGTGTAACACTCACAGTATCTGCTTCTTTTCCATCAATCATCTGCAGATCATTCAAAGACCACTTTTTTGTTACTTCATATTTTTCATCTAAACCTGTTCTGTAGTGTTTCACCATAATTATTTTCACTTCTTCATTTTTGGTCACTGTAGGACAGAAAAACACAGTTTACATAAACTCTTAGTAGATAATAAATTATTCATCATCATACTTTTCAGTATTTATGAACCCCGTTTTCATATGATGAGCTTGAACCTACATTATATCTGCACCCCATTTATGAACCCTGATGCATCTGAACCTTCACAAGTATGCCCCCAAATTGACTCAATGTGTTAACTTTATTTTTGCTACATTGTGGTTACCTACTGCCACAGTGCCTGCCAGGTGGAACCCTGAGCTGTGTGCTTTCAGCTGTGAGCTCCGTGGTGGGGGATGGGGTTCGACTCAGGGCAGGACTAAGAGGCTTAGCGTTAGCATGTAGCCAGTGCCAATGTTTACCAGAACAAGTTGGAATTTTAATTTATGGCAATATAAATAAGTGAAGTCAGGAAAGTAAACAATTCTGCTTACACAGCAACACAGTGTTAAAGAGTGACAATGAAAATACTACTGTGTACACTTTCTTCTAAAGTCATTGTGAGATTTTAAAAAATTTATTGTTTTTAGGGAGGGAGGGAGACAGGGTAGTACCTGGTTTATAGTAATTGTTAAAGTGTTTCGTTTTGTTTCTTTTAAGAGACTATTGTAACCCAGGCATAGGATGTGGGTTATGGAAATAGAAGGGGCAGATCCAGGTAAGACTTCAAATGAGGCGTTGATGAAACTGGACGAAAATCATAGAAGATGGAAATCAAAATAGGAAAGCATGAAGGGGGAAATGGTTGGGTGGAATAGTGATCTATCTCAGAAGAGAAGGAGATGGAAGTTTATAGCTTAAGAATGGAGCTATGGACTTGGGATTTTTCTGTGTGGACAGGTTTGCAAGACTAGGTGTGCAGGGAAAAGAGCAGAGGAAAGAGGTGAGACAGAGTGCAGAAGAAAACCTGCCAGCAGAGTGGTCCGAGAAGGGGCCACTGGAAAAGAGACAAGCCTAGCACTGCAATGCTATGGAAATCGAGAGGATGGGAATTTCAAAGATTTGGAGACAATAGCGTGAGGTCACTTCGTTAGGTAAAGCAAAAGTTCAGTCCAGGCTCTGAGTCTGACTTGGGGAAGATCACTGATTTCTTCTCTGAGGACAGTTTCTCTAGAACAGTGAAGGCAGAAGACAGCTTGCAGAGGGCTCCTTCATGCACTAATACTGGGTGCATCCTGTCTGCCAGTTCCTGGGCTAGGTAGGATTAAAAGGAGAAATAAGAAGACACTAAAGCTATGACTTAGATCACAGATGCCAAGAGTTCGGAAGAGGAGGGATTGTATATTTGGGGGACCAAGGGAGTGATTGAGGGCCATGTCATGGAAGGGACCTAGAGCAGAAGATCTTAACCAAGCGTCAAGAAATGGCTCAGAGTTTAGAAATTGTGTGCAAAAGTTGGTGGGTGCGTACAGAAGGCTCGCCTGTGGACAAACAAGGCAGTTGTGTCTGTGGACAAACAAGGCGGTTGTGTCTGTCCAGACAAAGGCTCTACTTCAAAACCAGAGGACGAGGCTCTTGTTCTGCCTGCTGCCTCACTCACTACTTAGGGGGTGAGAGAGAATGGGGATGGGAGCAATAACAGGAGACTGTATGAAAATGTAATTTGGAGCAAATTCCACTGCCTCATCTACATGTTATAATAACCAGCTAGTTAATTATAGGCCCACCGATTCATTAGTTTGATAAACGTTTGGGTGCCCTTTTGAATAAAGACTTGTGCTAAGTATTAAAATAATGATTTCCCATAAGGCACTGTTCCTGCTCTCCCCAAGATTACAGGGAGTGGGGGCTTCACGAACAAAACACATGATCTCTGTAAATTATATAAATGTCTAACCACTATGCTGTACACCTGAAACTAATATAAAAGCTTTACAAACTTGAATAGGGCTAGTGGATTAGTTGATAGTGATGGGTCAGTGTTAACTTCCCGATTGTGATGGTTGTACTGTGATTGTATAGGACAGTGATTTTCAACCGGTGTGCTGTAAGAATTTTTAAAACATGCAGTACCTGACTATTTAATCAGGGGCACTGACCTCTTTTCCTTAGATTGTCAAATAAAAAAAATGAAAACAACCAATACAATAGCCATCTTATACCTTGTTTTTTGTCAAATCAGAAAAAAATGTATTTTTTGGTGAGCTGCAGAATTTTAGTAATTAGTTTATGTGTGCCATGAGATGAAAAAGGTTGAAAGTCACTGATGTAGGAGAATGTCCTTGCCTGTAGCAATTAAACACTAAAGTTTTAATGTGGGCATTGGGGCAACATGTTGCCAATTTGCTCTCAACTGTTTCAAGAGTAATGTTATTTGTACTATTATTGTTACAACTCTTTAGTAAGTTTGGGATTATTTCAAAAGAAAAAGAAAAAAATTACGTTTTAAAAAAAACACATGATCACAGTGCTGTGAGTGAGGCAAGGACAGGGCAATTAGGGACATGGAGAAGGGACGCCTTCCCCCACCTGGCGGTTGGGGAGAGCTTCTTGAAGGAGGTCATCTGAGTTGTAAAAGACAGTGGGAGTTAGAATGAAGGAAGGGGTAGAGGGAGTTCTGGAACAGCATGTGTAAAAGCATGAAATACTTGACACTTTTGGGTCATTATAGATATTTAGTATTGTTGGCTTGAAGTGTGAGGGTGACTAGGTGGTATGAAGGAAGGTAGGAAGGAGCGAGTTAGTCTAGAATGTTAGATGAAAAAGTTCAGATGTTATCCTGAAGGCTATGTGTAGGGGGGACTGAAGGGGGGACTGTCACCAAAGGATTTTAAGTAAATAGATAGGAGGAGCTTTAAATTTTAGGAAGTTGTTTTTTTTTTATAGCAGTTTTGTAAAGGATGGGTTGGAGGGATAGAATGGAGAAAGCAATGTTAAGAAGGTAGGATCTACCAGTTACCAAGTTTTTTTTTTACATTAAAGGTCACTGTCCAGCTAACACCAAACTAAGAAAATTAGAACATGCTTTAAGTGTTAAGCTTTTGGTTCAATGATGCAGCACAGAGACAGTCCAGCCTCCTTAATTTGGCAAAATAGCCTCCTCTGGAGCCAATGAGGCTCCAAGATTGTCTTTAGCCAAGAGTCAAAGAAACCTACTCAGGCTGGACTGGACCCAATCCCTAATTCCCACACTTGAGCTGTGCTGCCAGCCAAAATTAAATGGCCATATTCACATTAATGGAGTGGGAAAGTGGAAACTTATCACATTGTCTTAAAAAAGAAATGTGTTTAGATAGTCAAAATGTTCGAGAGCTGGTTTCAGTCATATCCGAGGTGACATTGAATAATTATTATTTAGTGCATAATATCTACAGACCTAGGGAAATTCAGAATGAACCTGCTCCAGTTTTAATATTTTAGTTAGCATTTTCAGAATTACAATCTTAAATCATGCCCACCATTTATTTTCACTTTTAACTTCAAAATAAACATTGTTATTAATAACTGCCTCTATTACCATGATAAAACAGTCACTGTTATTTATGAGGCTAAATGGAAAGAAGATTGGCCAATTGAACAAATGGAATTTGTCAGAGTAGAGGAAAAAGTAGCTCATGAGGAAGCTGCACAGCAACACTTTAAATAAACAAATGACTTATTTTACAACCCTAGTGTTATATAATTGTTTTCATCGTTGAAATTAAATGATAGGGGAAAACTACCATGAATTATCAAAGACAAGAAGCTTCCATGAAAATGTTTCAATGTATTGATGATGTCTTAGGGTCAGTGAGAATGCTATTATTGATTTCATCAAAAATCACTTTTTATATAATTTTTTTTTTCTAGAACTATTTTATAAAATCAATTTTGGAGCTATACTGGGTACTATAGATTGAATGTTTGTGTGTCCCCGCCAAATTCATATGCTAAAATCCTAACCCCCAGGGTGACAGTATTAAGAGGTGGGGGGCCTTTGAGAGGTGATTAGGTCAGGAGGGCAGAGCCCTCATGAATGGCATTAGCGCAGGTATAAATCTGGAGTTATTCGCCTCAACAACTGTGATCTGACCTGTTTGATTCACATCAATGGAAATTTTCTGAGTAAAGCATGGTCAAAGATTTAGGACTGTCAAGCATCGCATTGATTTTGCCTTAAATTACTCTTCTGTCTAAATGTATTTGAAATGGTCATAAAGAGATGTTGATGTTACATTTGGGGAAAGTGCTTTCAGATTGATGGATGTGATATAGAGGAGAGTTGTGAAAAGTTAGTGAACTAATATGATTTATAATCTTATCTTTTATCTGGAATATCACAATTCTGTCTTCTCGTCCTCACACCTGAGAGGATCTTGTTTTTCCTTGCTTCTTACATGACAGAATCATTGCATTTTACTAATGACAGTGATCACCTACTTTTCGTGATCATTTTCCAGATGAGAAAAGTGAACCTTCAAGGGGTTACCTTCACACATGTTAATAATGCCAACCCCTTGACCTTCCAATCCTACGTAGAAGGAATCATATCATTTATGAAAAGAGGCAGCAGGTGACCCCAGCCCACAGTGTCTTTCTCAGAACTCAAGGATACTGGGGCGGGGGGCTGGATCACACCCATATCCAAAAATTTAATTCTAGGAAACTTTTTTTCTCTTAGCTAGAACAAGTTTAGTTCATTATATAGTTGGAGGGAGGCATACATTTTTGTGATTATTTTTATGTTTTTCTTTAAAAACATTTGTATATTAATGTTACATGATGAGTAATTAGCTTTATAAAGTAGGATCTCAATAGGTACAAAATTATTAAATGTTAATGTTAGAATAAGCATATTCTCTAATATATTAGGTCAAGGTAATTTAAGATTTGATGGTTATGATATAATACAGTTTCTAACATTGTTCCATTTGACTTCTTTCTGTACTTTGAATACTTTTCCTGGGCCAGTTAAGCTTTTTACCTTGTTGAAATGCCAAGTCCCCACACTTTGTATTTATATATAGCAAAACATGCTAGGTAAAGTGTTAGATGTATATATATCACTCTTTATTATTGAGTAAATATTATACTTACTAGGATTGGCAGAATTTTAAAGAGTTCTTAACAGTTTAAAAAAGATGTTTTACTTCCCTTGCAGTACCCCCTCTGGACACCTTTAGAAAGTGCTTCTAAGCCAATTACCAGGAAGGGAATTATAACAAGTTTGTTTTTTGAAAATGCTGAGGTAGGTGCCTTATAAGGAAAATCCACAATGAACTCTTAGAGGTTCTAAGCTCTTTCCTCCTAAGCCCCTCGAAAGTATTAAAAGGCATGGACTGGGAAAGGGAATGCTCTATATTGAATTCAATAATGGCACCAAGTATTTCTGCCTAAATTCAGCACAAAAATTACCAGTTAGGCAAATCATAAATTAAGTGCAAAAGCCTGTTTCTACCTTTAGACAATTTTCATGAATTTTAAAACCACGGGAGGAAATATTTTAATAGTTTAGAGAACATTCTCTTCACCTTAAAGTTCCATCTTCATGAACTAATTTCTGCCATCAAAGTATTATTTCTATGAGCATACTTCGTATAAGAGAAAAAATTTTAAAGACCATTCTCTATTTAAAATAAGCCCTCAGAGGAAAATCTAAGATCTTTTTTCTTTCCTAGCATGCAAAGAGAGAGCCCTAGTTGTCCAGACTAGTTGGAAATGGAGCTGTATAACTCAATTTTCCAATGTATTTAAAATATACAGAGAGCTCTCTGTTGCATTCTAAAAAAATGAGCTCTTCCACAGTAAAACTATGTGCCATGCAAGTGAATTACATAAAAGATTGAAGACCAAATAATAAAATCAGGAAAAGTACATACCCAGTTTCATTTCTGAACAATTGGCCAACATATTCTTAATACAATATTCTTTTCTGTCTTCCATTTTAGCACTTAAAAAATTCTGTAGCATCCAAATTCTTAAACTGAGCATAGTTAAGTCCTATCACTAAAAGATACACATGCTTTATTACATAGGAAAATAAATAAATACAAAATATGTCCCTCTATCACCCAAGCATCTTGGGGTTATTTACGTTTAGAAATGATAACAGAAAGAGCATATTACCTGACACACAGAGGTAATACCTGTCCTGGACAGAGAACTCTATTTCGATAAACTCGTACAGATTCTGCGAGAGTGGCTTAAACAGTTTCTTCTCCAAGTCCTCCTTTACCAATGATGACATTTCCTCCAGTTCCACTTGGCCTGATACCTTGGCTCAGGCTCACCCGTTCTCTCCTCTGGCTGCCTAGATTTCTTGTTTTCACTCCTTAGTGAGTCCTGCCCACCTCCCAGCTCTCACTCTCTTAACATCTTGCTCCTAGCCCCACCCAGGCTCCCCGAGCACTCCCTGCGTGGCCAGACCCCTCGCTGCGGAATCTGCTCAGCAGCAGCAGCAGCAGCAGCAGCAGCAGCAGCCAAAATACAGCAGCAGCTCCAGCCCCACCGTAACTCCTCAGCGTCCAGGCTCGAGCAGGCTGCTCTCGGGAGCTCTCCTGTGGTTTGTTGATGGGGAACATATTTATGAACACCAGCAGATGTACTTGTGGAGTCCCTGATTAGTCTTGTGTAGCAGCCTTTCCCCCCTTCCCAAGACTTTGCGGAGGAAGACCACTCCTTCAGCTTGATTCCATTCTATAAATCAGCTGCCTGGCTCTATTGATTGGGGTATCTTCCATTAAGAACTTTGTTATCATCGGCAAGAGAAAAAGCGTTTGCTCCTGACACTTCCAACAAGTCTCTTTCCCTCCTTTGTTTCCCCTCCTGCAATTCATTCAGACCTTTGCTTTTTTTGAGAGAGTCAGCACCAATTCCTGGGTCCAAATTATTTTTAAAATGGGCTCACTTTAATATCGCTTATTGCACTATTCGCAAAGAAAAATTGACTAGGTACTTACTGAGGCAAAGCACTACATTTGTTTCTTGGGAGTGTGGTTTCCTATCCTCAAGGAGAGTTTATAATCTAATAGAGATGAGTACACAATTATCATAAACGTTTAAAAGTGATAAATGGCACAAAAGAGAACATAGAAAAGATATTTGTACCTGGAAAGCATCAGAGAAGGTTCTGTGGGAGAAGAGCTGGAGCTTGAATGAAAGTATCGAGGTGGAGGGTAGGAGTGATCCTGTGGAAGGAACACTGTGACCCCAAGCCCTGCACAGCGAAGCACAGGGAGGGTTTGGGAGGACAGGAAATAGCCCGTTTCCCTAAGTTGTAGTGTGTTTGAAAGAAGATAAGACCAGAAAGATGTACTGGGGTCAGACCATGAAGTTGATTAAAATAATCTGGCAAGAGGACCAGAGAACTAAAGGGTTAATCTGGAAGGCCAGATTAACCTTTTCGACTTTATTCTATAGAAGTAGAGAGCCAATGAAGATTTTGGGGCCCTCATGTATTCAACAAATATTTTTCAAGGGCTGGCTCTGGGCCAGGCCCTATTCTAGGAACTGGGAATATGAATTTTTTTTTTTTTTAGATAGAACAATTAGTTGCTCTTGTGGAACTAAGTGGGGTAGATGGAAGGTAAAGAAATAAGGCATTAGACCATTCAAGGTGCACTCAGCTGCAGGTAACAGAATACATGACGTGAAGTTGTAAATAGGGAAGACTTTAAACAATCTCTCCTACCAAGAGGTCTGCAAGGAGGTGGTCCCAGGTTTAGCTCATAGATGAGGGTCTCACATGCTTTCTATCTTCTGAGCCTCCTTTCTCAGACGTCGGCTTTTTGTCCTACCCTGCTGTTGCTCAGCTCCAAAGACGGGAAGGAAGTGGCTGGAGGAGGGGGTGGGTTGAGGAGTGGCTCTACTTGATTTCTCATTTTGTCAGACGCAAAGTGTTTCCCAGAAACCAGGCAGCAGACTCCCCTTTACACCTTGGTGGTCATTACCTGTTCACATGACCATGCCAAGGAAAACAAGTATTTGTCATTTTTGGCTCCTATCCCAGGAAGGAGGATTTTCTAACAAGGAAAAAGGGATGGGAATGATTGTAACAGGAAACCAATGGCGTCTTCCATGGCTGCACTAAGGAGAGATTAATGGCATGTCTGTGGCTAGGCCGAATTGCAGAGTCCTGGGTGAGACCTTTGCCTCTCTGAGCCTCAGTTTCCTCATCTGAAGAATGCGCTCCAGGGCCTTTTCCCACTTTAATACTCTCCTATTCTGTGTGTGATTCCGGGAGTTGATTAAAATAATCTGGCAAGAGGACCAGAGAACTAGTACTATGGTTTTGGATATGGAAATGGAGAAGAGTAAGTGGATTGAACCCACAACCGAGGCATGTGCCCTGACCAGGGATCAAACCCATAACCCTATGGTGCACAGGATGATGCTCCAACCAACTGCGCCACACTGGCCAGGACACGGGGCAGGAATTTTTAATACCTACTGTTTCACTAATGAGGCCCAGCTAGTCCACCATCCTGGGTAAAGTAATGAAGCGACTGTCTATGAGATACAGCCCAGCTGCTGTACATACATGGAGGCAAAGTACTCAGAAGAAAGACCTGTTTGCATACAAGACTCATAGATTAATTAGCCTTTGTGTTAACGAGGAACTGAAGCCTGGATTCTAGCAGACCCACAACTAGAGGGGTGGACTGTAATTTCTAAGTCTATAACTAGGCCAGATCTATTTTATTCTTACTAATTTCCCGCCCCCTGAAACTGAGAAACAATTTTTCTTTCAATTTTCAGTTTTGGAATCTTGCTTTAATCACTTCCCAACCTAGTCTTTAAAAGCTTTCCAGTCTCATGCTACCGTGGGACTACTTATTTGCTCAAAAAATTGGGGAGTAAGTGTCCTACTTGTCCACAAGCAACACGATATTAATGTGTGATATGAGTGCCCCTTTTGCATATTTGCAAATTATAGGACTGGTTTGTTTTACACAGAGCTCGCGGCTAAGGCACTTAGTTGGTCCTCTGAAATTACAGAGTTGGCCTAGTTGAGAGTTTGTTGAAGTCAAGTTCTGTTCTTCTTGGGGCTGCTCTGTAGGTGCATGAGTAGGCAGTGGTAGGTGCTGTGAAACAGACGGGGTGCTGACTTCTTTGTGTTCTTTCAGACCCACATTCCAAAGCCCTCCTTCTTAAGCAAAGGCTGTGGTTGTGTATGGCCCTCACATCCCTGTGTCCTTGAGTGCCCTCCAGGAGAAGAGGGAAAATATTTTTTATCAGCACTTACCAATGCCAGGCTCTATGTGTTGGCCTTTGAGATACACACTGTTTAATTAAATCTCCCATCAAAACTAAGAGGTAGATCTACAATTGTCCCCATTTTATCCTCTGAAGAAACACAATTCTGTGGAAACAGGGTAGCCTGTCTTAAACCTCTGCAATGCACCCTGTCCCACATTTATTGCTTCTACCCTTGGTAACATGTCTTTAGTAAGAAAATATTACTGTAACTAAGTGTTTTTCATTACTAAAGTCTTGAACTTGATGTCATTTTATGTGTGATTATATAACAGATCGAAAAATGCCAGGTCTATGTTGTATTTCTTAAAATTTTATTAGTAGGAACCAGGACAATACTGGCATCAAAATATTTAATTTCTATTGCACACATACATTCTGTTACTATATCATGTCATAGTTTACTTAATCCAAGAAATACTTGTCCTTTAATCAAAGTACTTCCTTGGTAATTCTAGTTTAGGAACATTTTGTTTGCGTGTGTGCATGTGAATATGTACAATGACCTCAATATTTGTGTCTCCTCAAATTCATATGTTGAAGTCCTAACCCCCAATTTGATCTATTAGAATATGGGGCATTTGAGAGGTGCCTACGTCATGAGAGTGGAGCCCTCACGAAAGGGATTAGTGCCCTTATGAAAGAGACCACAGTGGAGAAACAAGCTGGCAGCATAGGTAACAGCTGCACCCGCCGCCTCCCGCAAACACATCAAAATTACAACTAAAATACAGAACCACCGTCACTCAGAGCCTCCTGAGATCTGGCTAAACAGAACCCCACAACAAGGGAACTGAAGAAGCATCGAGACCGGTAGGAGGGGCGGTGACATGGGTGGGGCGGGGCTGAATCGCAGAGATGCAGCCTCGGGCCCACACCCAGTGCCACGGGTAAACCTGGGAGGACATCTCGGTGGCGGGGTTTCCTGGAGGAGCGAGGGGTCCCAGGCCCACAGCAGGCCCCCAGCCCAGGGCTCCAGGGCCGGGAAGAGATGTCCCCACAACTCTGGGCTGTGAAACCATTGGGGACTGTCACTGAGGGTCGTGGAGGCTGCAGGAGCCCCAGGCTTTCCTTTTAAATGGCCCGCACACGGACTCACTCGGATGCGCTCCCTCTGAGCCCAGTGCCGAGCAGCAGCTTGAAAGGACCTGGGGAGGAACTAACCTGCCTGGAATCCGGACGAGAGCTGGAGGGGCGGCTTCCTCCCAGGCAGAAGGGCTGGCGGAGGCCATGGCTCCTTTGGCTAGTCCTCCCCCCACACAGCTGGCAGGCAGGTGCCATGTTTGAATCGCTAGCACCTGACTCACACCTTTGGCCCCGCCCCGTGATTCCCGGAGGCCCCGCCCCTCCCCACCTGCAGCTCATCCAGGCCATTTCCAGGGGCTTTTCTGTGCAAGTGGCCTCTCGAGCCCCATGCTTAGGACCTTCCTAAAATCTCTCAAATGAGCAGCAGTGTGCCCCATATGGCTTGATAAGTGGCCCCAGGCCTCGCACTAGCGGCAGCCTGCATTGGCTCATAGCTTGGCCTCTCCTGGGCATCTCTAAGCCCAGCACAAATAGCAGCCAACTACGGTTTGCTGTGTAGCTCATGCTGGGTGGCCCTGGGCAAGGCACTGGCACAGGCTGACTTTGCACCTCCCGGGAGGCCCCAGAGACAGTGCACCTGGTGGTCAGACTCGACCACGCTGGATTACAACCCTACCACATCCACGAGCGACACTCAAGGGGCACACTTGGTGAACACCAAAGCTCCATTGAAGTAAATCTTGCTCCATAGGGGTGTCTCCAGCACAGCAGCTCT